TTAACCATGGCGGCCATGTTTGTTATTAACCAGTTACCCTAAGGAACATTCAGTTAAAGTTAAGAAGTATTAGGCCCAGTAGTTTCAGAGGAGAAGATTTTTAAATGTTAGTAAACATGATGAACAAATTGTGTAAAATTGTCTTTAAAGAGCAATAATTCCTTAAGGGGTCAATTGATAATTTGGGTCATATTAACTTTTTTGTAGATCTTACTTTGCTGAACATTTTTGCTGTGAACAGTTTATCTTTATCTTCAATAATATTCAAGATAATAACCAATAAACTGCTGTGCCATGAGCGCATCATACGCCCGTCGTGTTTTCACAGAATAAAGTCCAATAACTTCTCAAGGTCATATCAGAAATTTATGAAAAACTAAAGGGAGGTTATCTTAATAGATATAAACCAGTCACCAATGTTTCATGAAAACTGCTCAAAGCACTTCAAAGATATTGTCTGAAAACTGGAAAATCCCCCCTTTTTTAATGAATAAAACCCAATAACTCGGAAACCTAAAATCTAAAATCTATAAAAATTGAAAGGGAGCTCATGTCCATAAATACAAACAATTCACCAAAGTTTCTTGCAAATTGGTGAAAAGTCCAACCCTGAACAGTTTGGGTAAAAATTGACACAATATTCAAGCTTGATACAGGTCTGAATTTGGATTGTAATTAAATATTTGACATATTATAGGTTTCTGAATAAATGTAGTCAAAGAACTTGAAATTGGTTATATGAATTGAGTTTATATTCAATTAAAGATTTCTTGCTGTTGTGCAATACACTATGCTGTTGCGCAATACTTAGTAAATCTGTTTTCAGACTATAAACAAATAAAATTTATAAAATTCTAAAGGGAGTTTACATCACTAGATATAAAAAAAATCACCAAAGTTTCATAAGAATTGCAAAAACATTTTTGATTTATTGTCTGAAAACTGGAAAATCCCCCCTTTTTAATGAATAAAACCTCATTACTCGGAAATGTAAAATCTAAAATTTAGAAACCCTGAGGGTTCACGCATATTAATTAGTTAGAAATATAGTCTATGGAGGAATATTCGGAAGCTAAATTATTCTTCATTCGGAACACTTATTCATCTTATCTGTATTAGCCTCCTGCAATTAAGAGCACCTCCATACGGGGGTATCTGAGATATTTAAAACGTCGCAATAAAGAAATTGTCACAAATCGCTTATTCTCTTATCTGATATATGATAATAAACTAAATGTATCTATAGTTCACTTTCAAACATGTATGTTAAAGCTATATTTATGCATCGTAAGTGTTTACTTGAGCAATGTTGACAGTTGCAACGTTTGATAAACAAGTGAAAGTTAAATGGTCAAGATTTAACGACCTATGGTATCGAACATCAGTGCCAGATATTAATGGTGTTGTGGTTTCTACATAATGAGTTCTAGTAGGCTTTGGGATTTGTTGATTTGTAACAATAAAATTTATGCACATGTCATTTTGACAAATCAGATAAACAAAAATGGCTGTTTCAAAAACTGAAAATAAAACAAATAAAATGAAGACTGTTTGTTAATATTCCCAGGAAATAATCATATTCTTAATAATAAAAAAATATATTATATACTTTTTTTTAAATAAGGAAATAGATTTAACAATTGCATGTTAATCTTTCATGAGGTCTTTAAAAATATGTTATGCAAAAGAAAAAAATACAAATACACAAAACAATTAACTCTAGATTTTTACACTGAATAAGCATACAATGGATTCTGTAAACATGGAAAGTTAGAAAAAGAGTGTACAATGTATTTGATCTTGCGTTCGGGTATTTGTTTAAGCAGTTATATATCAATATAAGAATTAAGATTGAAAATACATAATATACTGAGACCAACATTCTTTTAATAAATATATCTGAATTTATGAAATTGTGTTTTAAAATTAAAAATTATTATGAAATGCGGTTCCTTCAACCAACATACGTAATAAATCTCAAGACTTTAAACCGTTTTTGCTAACTAAATAAATGTTTTTTGCCTATAATTCAGAATTGTATCAGTGTTTCGGGATTTTTTGCTTAAAATTGTTTAAGCATGGGTCCCTTTTCAAAAGTCTCCCAACTACTACATCGCAAGGTATTCTTGTTGGCGTGCGTATATATGCCTTTTTGACCTCGTGTGACTCAATTTTATCAATGAAATCTTTTGTATCTCGAATGTAAAAGTTAAGCCTCTTCAATAATGGTTTTATAATTAGATCAAGAAATCTCTCAATGCGTCTCGTGGGAGAATTACACTTATTGATAATTGGTCGGTAAGGAACATTTAATGTCTCCTACTATCTGACCAGTTCGCAATGCCTCATTAATTATGCCTAGATTTATTTTATGAATTTTTGAAAGAAAAAACATATGTCCATGTTTTGAATCATTATCATTCTTTAAGAAAGTATACGTCTGGGAATCCATTTCTTTTTATGCCCCCTACGTAGTGGGGCATTACGTTTTACCCTTAACTGAGTTGGTTTCCGTTCTCTAACTTAAGTTTGCCTCAAACAAATGTTATGAAACTTATACACAATGCTTATTACCACAAAATACACATCAAGTTCAAAATTGGTGGCGTCACTTTAACCGTTCTAGAGTTATGCCCCTTTTCAAATGAAAATTGCTGAATTTTTCATTTCCGTTCTCTAACTTTAGTTTTCCTCAACCAAATGGTATGAGACTTATACACAATGCTTATTACCACAAAACACAGATCAAGTTAGAATTTTGGTTGTGTAACGTTTACTGTTCTAGAGTTATGCCCTTTTACAAACATAAAAGTTTCCGTTCTCTTATTTAAGTTTGCCTCAACCATATATTATGAAACTTATACACAATACCTATTACCACAAAAGTCAGATCAACTACAAATTTGGGTAGTGTCACTTTTACCGTTCTTCAGTTATGTCCCTTTAAAACTTTATATGATATGCAATCAGGGGTATCATATGTGTGTTCCATGGACACATTCACTTTTCACTCTCATATTGTCATGATTTACAATAATTTAAAAAGAAAATATCATCCTCCGCACACATGGCCATGAAAGCACTGAGATATAATTTTTAATTTAGTTGAATTAATAAATAGCATAAAAAAGTTCTAAGGTTCACATATTGTCTTTTTTTTTTAAAAAGCAACTTGTTGTTCATTAACCATTACTTTATACATAATTTAAAAGCAGTGTAAGGGAGGTAATTCAAATATTGTATTTGATTTATCTCCCTTACACTGCTTTAAATTATGTTTTGTACAAAGCATTTGTCCATTAACCAGGACAACCTTGTTTTTCTCCCTTTTTTGCCCCTAATTCCTAAACGGTTTGAGCCATAACCCCCCAAAGCAAATCCTAACCATCCCTTTGTGGTATGGAAACTTGTGGTATAATTTCAGAGAGATCCATACACCGTTCCACAAGTTATTGTCTGGAAACTAGAAAATGCTTATTTTTGGCCCCCAATTCCTTAACTGTTGGTACCATAACCCCCAAAATCAATCCCAACCTTCCTTTTGTGGTATTGAACCTTATGGTAAAATTTCATAGAGATCCATTCACTTAAACTAAAGTTAGAGTGCGAAAACCAATGTGTCTTCGGACAGCGACGACGCCAACGTCATACCAATATACGACCCCAAAATTTTTTTGCGGTCGTATAAAAACTGCATTTGACCCCTATGTTCTATTTTTAGCCATGGCGGCCATGTTTGTTGATGGATCAAAACTTCGGATACAATATATAAACTAGATACCCTAAGGAACATTCAGTTAAAGTTTGAAGGTATTTGGCCCATTAGTTTCAGAGGAGAAGATTCTTGAAATTTTTTTTTAGTTTACGACTACAACAGACGACAAGTGATGGCATAAGCTCACATGGCCCTTCAACACAGGTGAGCTAACAACATATAAAACGTAAGTTAAATATCATATCCACTAATATACCAAAAATTCATATCAATATCCCAAAGATAATAAGTCCGACAACTGAGGTATGTAATAATGTACATTGGTAACACTATCTTTCCCATACAGGTGGGAGGTTTGGCTAGCTATAAAACCAGGTTTAATCCACCATTTTCTACATGGGGATGGGACTGTGCCAAGTCAGGAATGTGACAATTGTTTTCCATTTGTTTGATGTGTTTGAGCTTTTGATTTTGCCATTTGATAATGGACTTTCTGTTTTGAATTTTCCTTAGAGTTCCATATTTTTGTTATTTTAATTTTTCACAGCCAATTAGTATTTGGGCCTAAAATCAGTACAGTAAAAATACTTTACCATAAAAAAAAAAATACATACATGTGCCTGTTCCACACCAGGAACCTCTTAGGTGGTTGTCTTTTGTTATATCTTAATGATTTTTGTTATACGAAATTTGAAATTGATGGCAGATTTTTTTAATTTATTCAGAATTTTTCAAGACTTTGGACAATGCAGAGCTTACAATATTGTATAGTCAATAGTGTCTTTTGTTGAAGACTGCTAAAGGTATTTTTTGTGTTGTTATGTTGCTGTCCCATTTGGTGTAATCCAACATATTTTATTCATATATATTGTAACAGGAGAGCATGATATTTCTTCCCAAATATTCACTGTATCAACAAGAGATTGAATCACTACCAACAGAGCTAATTGAGGGGTAAACATCTATAAGGTCAAGGAACAGTAGATTCAAAGCACAAAAAGCAAACTGAAACTATCACCTATCAGTAAAGAAGTAACTTTAATTTGTGTAAACATTTTGAAATAACAATTATTCTGTGCACACTTTTCAAGAAAAAAAATATTTCAACTATATTTTCTCCCCTTTTACAAGTATTTTAAGAAATGATCTATTGCAGGCTCACCAACAAAACTTTATGGGCTTTGAAACATTTTTATGAAATAGAAAAAAACTTCCAGTATGCTATATATACTGATCTTGTTCAATTGAATTGTTCTCAACTTGAAAATGATAATAAACAGAAAAATTGTTTTTTTTACAATTTATTTTAATGACCGGTGAATCATCAAAAAGTTTCCTTTAAAGTGTCATTTCTTGTATCTTTTCAGTGGTAAAAATGTTTTAACATGTTCAATGTAAATGATAAGTTTGTTTATTAAGATGACAGAATGTCTTGTGATCACAGTTCTTCATCCATATCAACATCTTCTTCTTTGATGACTTGTACCATTTTTCTTTCCAACTGTTTTCCTTTAGCTAAAATAAAAATACAAAGGGAAACTCAACAATTGATGATAAAGTCCTACCATCATGTCTGACAGTACTTTCATCTGCTGAATGAATATAATAATGAAAGTAGATAAGATAGATAGCTGCTTATATTTCTAATGGCAAATATACATTACATAGGACAAATAATGTGATAAGAAAGTTACTGTAAATTCAGAAATTATTGTGAGGTTTTTATTAATGCGAATAATGGGACTACTTGAGTATCGCAATAATAAAAACTTGTATTTTGATATCAAATACATATATCTGTATTTAGCTTTTCCTAAAATCGCAATAATTAAACTTGCATTTTTGTTAATTCTTCAAAAATCACAGTCAATAATAAATGCATGTAATAATTTCTGAATTAAGTGTATGCTGCTTTGAACTAGATTGACACACAGATTCAAATTTTAAATGTGCTAGGTAATTAGGTAACAATCTACAGAAGACATGTCAATCGACATAGAAACATTATTCTGACTTCGAGCTAATCAATCTTTGCTCATACTACCACCTGAAACATGATAGACAAAGAAGCAGCTAAAAAAACAAACTTTCAATTTTTTGGTCGTCCCTGCCAAATATCAATCCACTACCTCCCATATTTGAAGCAAACCTTTAACCACTAATGTTTTTAACATACATGTATAAGAGATGTGTACTTGGAGACAAAATCGATGATTATTTAAATTCTTAGGTAAAACTTTTTGTATGTGTCTTGGTGGTAAGATGTATTGTGCATATTTGGCTTTTTTTAAAGTTTCATTGAAGTTTAGCCTTAATTGAAGAGAAGTTTGCCAATGTCAAAATTTTCTCATGAATTCATGAATAACGCTGACCTATAGTTGTTAACTTCTATGTCATTTAGTCTCTGGTGGAGAGTTGTCTCATTGGCAATTATACCACATCTTATCTTTATATGAAAGTTTCACTGAAATCCATGTCATGCTGGTTTAAAAGGTGTTACATATAAATACAAAGGTATTACAACAATGATGCTCAAATTAGTTATCACAATGTTTCAGCTTAATCTGTAAGACCAAGCAGTCCATGCCCAAAGCAAATAATGTAAGTCCAGAAATCATTACCAGGTTTTTATTATTGTGAATATTAATGCGACTAGGTGAGTTTCACAATAATAATTCACATTTTGAAATCTGACACATATATTTGTATGCAGATTTTCCTGTAATCACAATAATTATTCTCAAATTTTAGTTTTAGTTTATTTCAATAAACATATTAATTTCTAAATTAACAGTATCAAAACTGCCATGAAAAACATAACTGATGAGTTTAGAATCATTGGATTCAGTCATTGGAAATAAAAGTCCCTAGAATTTATTACAATTCACTGATGGCAAAACATCACATGGTTTTTGGTCAAGCCATCAAATATAATATGAATAAGGGTTGTTAAATTTTGTTTACCTCCTGGTGCTCTTATCAAGTGAATATTTTTCTCTACTTCCTTCACATCAGCTTCTTTCCTCAGTTCTTTACCTTTCTTTAATCTAGAATTGAGCATTTGTTTCATAATTTTCAAATATTTTAATGATTTATAACTATAACATTTTATAAAATGTACATATAATGATTTACATGTATACAATGTACAAGATGACTTATTCTAATTTGCTTTATAATGTGAAAAGATATAGTCACAGTGTGTGTTTTAATGTACAGTACAGACCATTTTCTTGGCATTTACTAAATTAAATAAATCTTCATTTCAACTACTTTACTAATAACATAGTACCACATTAAAATTGTAGCTGTTATACACACATTTCATAATTTTATTGGGTATCCATTAAACAACATATATAATTATAGGTAGGACGATGCAACTTTTAACATGACTAATTAAATTTTGTTAGAGGTCAGACATGTACCGGTAATCAATATTAAAATCATGCAATTGGTTTTCTTTTTTGAATTGTTTCACATTTTGTCATGCCTAGAGCTTTTATAGCTTTCTATACAGTATGGGTTTTGTTCATTGTGGAAAGCTGTATGGGTGTTGTGTTTTCATCCTTGTCCTTACTTCTCTGGTGGATAGTTGTCTCATTTGCAATAAATCCACATCTCCTCATTTATATTGAGCATACGATTGACAACGCAAAGTTTTGTAAGAAATCTCTCATCTGATACTTAAAAAAAACTTCTATCTATTGGAATGAATTTTATGTTGAAAAACTTCATCTTCATATGCAGAAATGGAGAAGTCTGTAGTTTGCTATTGGGAAATATCAAATAAAAATCTGAGTAAGGAATTAAATAGGACATGACTAACTGTAATGGAATAAAGTGATGCAGTTTATAGTTTAATTACATTCTTATGTATAATATATGATATTTTGCATTAGACAGAAAACAACAGGAAATAGCAGGGTCTTCCTCCAAATGCAGGGAGCCATTAATTTATACATGCATAACAGCCACATTACACATGTATTCTTATTCAAATGTCTAAACTGTCACTTTATTTACCCTTTACTTTAGTTTGTGAACTGAATATACATGATATATAATCAGGGCTTTTATTCTTTTTAAAGAAGTGTGGAATGTGTTGATTAGACAATAGATTCATTGAACACAATTCTGATAGAAATGCATTAAACATAGGAAATTCTATTCATAAAAGACAATCATTTTATATTTTTATACATCTATGCATGTTTATTGTCATACAGCCCAGGGTCCAACACTTACGGTTGTCCGATTGCCCGGGGCAAGTTAATGCCGTATTCGGAGGAGTAAAAACATCATCTTGGTTGTCCGATCGGGCAAAAGAAAAAAAAACTGTTATATGATTAAAATTTCACAACATCAATAGTGTCTGTTGTTTTGTCCATAGATTACTCGAGCTCAGTGATAACACTGCACGGTCGAGTAAAGTGGTCTTAACCCCCCTTCAATGCATATATTTCGTCATTTGTTCGCACTGAATTCCCCATTTTACCAAAAATAGATCACGTTTAAAAATATTGGCCAATCAGGTGGCCGCGGCTTTGCTTCGTCATTATCGTTATCAATCGGGACACCACTCTGGCGTTTCCGACGCACGTTTTATTCCCACCGATCAATGGAAAGCGGAGGTCTATTTTCATTGTTCTAACTTTAGAATTTGACAACGGATGTGTATTTCCCTAAGATCATGAAGATGGAAAACATAAAAGCTTGAAAGAGAAAATGAAATTAAACTTTAACAAATTTGTTAGTTGTTGTCAGTTTATTAAGAAGGGTTTTTTGAAATGGCATTTCTTAGATAAATTATTATGAAATAAGTATCTCTATGTAAATGATCCAATTCCCATATATTCCTCGATCTTTTCCCTCCCTCCTCGGCTCATATATGCCTCATAGTATCTCAGTGGTCAAGTCTAGTTGCTGCCATCATGGCACAACAATCAACCCTGGCATGTAAAAGTTTGGGCATGTAGATTTCACTTTCGGACAAGTAAAAGTAATAGGGCACTTGCCCAACTGGACAAGTTGGTATAAAAGTTAATGTCGAACCCTGCAGCCTGTTGATGACACTGGGTCACACCATGAAATTCTGATCAGTATAAATAATTAAACATTGCTATTTCAAATTATTAAATAGTCTAAATCAGGGTAATTTATGGACCTACCCATGGAACATACAAAAAAATACAAATTAAATGTGCAAACTTTCAACATGTCCAATGACAGAATGAACAATACTGGTACTATAACTTAGTCAATTAAGTTTTTTAATCTTTGCAAACTGACATACTGACCTATTTAATATGTACTGATTCTGTCGTTTAATTCTTATTTCTTCTATTCTCTTCATAGCTTTTACTGAAAGCATAAAACAATCATACATGATGTGATGTCATAACAATTTAATTTTTTTTTAGATATTTGATCTTCATATTTCAAAATGTAATTTACTATTTTACATTTTTTACATTCATATGCATCATGTGCATGCTTCATAAAAAAAAATCTTTTTATATTTTATCATATCATTTGTTATTTCATTTTTTATGTACTTACTTACATAACCCTTATACAACTATATGCAATGATTAGACAAGAACTTACTTGATGTCTGCCATAACTCTCTGTCATATTTTACAGGAACGTTTCTTCTCTTTTCAAACTCAAATGATGGATCTACTGTTAATTCTTTTCCAGCAGCCTTTCTAAAAGCTTTTGTCCATTTTGCTTTTCTTGGATTTCTCTTCTTTTTAAATGCTCTATGACATTTTGATCTGCAGAATCTAAAAATCTGTAAAATATAGCAAAACAAGTTGAGTAAATTTCACTTACAAAATTACAATGAAACTGTTAGGATTACAATGACATTTTTAGGTTTACATAGATGATCATTGTAAATATACTTCATTATTGTGCATCATTTGGAATTAAAAGCTTTAGATCAACCCTGGCTGCAACCTATGATGCAACAGTTTATATTGAATCCCTAGACAAAAAACTAGAGGCTCTCAAGAGCCTGTGTCGCTCACCTGACTCTACTTTGGTTTTAGAAATCATGTAAAGATAGATAAAAATCATAACAGATACCCAAATAATGATTGAGGCCAAATTTTGATTAATATTGGTCCCGTTATTTAATAAAATATCCTGGTGGCAATCTTGAACAGTAAATCGGCAACAAAGTAGCAACACTTGGTCAGCACTTCATAAGGAACATTCATGCCATGTTTGGTTTCATTCCATTCAGTGCTACTCTAAAAGAAGACATTTGTATGTATTTCCCATAGGGTCCTATGTTAAACTAAGCCCCCCCCCTCCTAGCGGCCATCTTGGATGATGGATCGACTGCAAAGTAACAACACTTGGTCAGCAACTCATAAGGAACATTCATGCCATGTTTGGTTCAATTCCATTCAGTGGTTCTCTAAAAGAAGACAATTGTATGTATTTCCCATAGGTCCTTTGTTAAACTAAGCCCCCTGCTGTCGGCCATCTTGGATGATGGACCAACTGCAAAGTAACAACACTTGGTCAGTACCTCAAAAGGAACATTCATGCCATGTTTGGTTTCATTCCATTCAGTGGTTCCCTAAAAGAAGACATTTGTATGTATTTCCCATAGGTCCTTTGTTAAACTAAGTCCCCTACTGTCGGCCATCTTAGATGATGGACCGACTGCAAAGTAACAACACTTGGTCAGCACCTCATAAGGAACATTCATGCCATGTTTGGTTTCATTCCATTCAGTGGTTCTCTAAAAGAAGACATTTGTATGTATTTCCCATAGGGTCCTATGTTAAACTAAGTCCCCCGCTGGCGGCCATCTTGGATGATGGATCGGCTACAAAGTAACAACACTTGGTCAGAACCTCATAAGAGACATTCATGCCATGTTTGGTTTCATTCCATTCAGTGGTTCTCTAAAAGAAGACATTTGTATGTATTTCCCATAGGGTCCTATGTTAAACTAAGTCCCCTGCTGGCGGCCATCTTGGATGAATGACCGACTGCAAAGTAACAACACTTGATCAGCATCTCATAAGGAACATTCATGCCATGTTTGGTTCCATTCCATTCAGTGGTTCTCTAAAAGAAGACATTTTTATGTATTTCCCATAGGGTCCTATGTTAAACTAAGTCCCCCGCTGGCAGCCATCTATGATGATGGATCGGCTACAAAGTAACAACACTTGGTCAGCACCTCATAAGGAACATTCATGCCATGTTTGGTTTCATTCCATTCAGTGGTTCTCTAAAAGAAGACATTTGTATGTATTTCCCATAGGGTCCTATGTTAAACTAAGTTCCCCGATGGCGGCCATCTTGGATGATGGATCGGCTACAAAGTATCAACACATGGTCAGCACCTCATAAGGAACATTCATGCCATGTTTGGTTTTATTTCATTCAGTGGTTCTCTAAAAGAAGTCATTTGTATGCATTTCCCATAGGGTCCTATGTTAAACTAAGTCCCCTGCTGGCGGCCATCTTGGATGATGGATCGGCTACAAAGTAACAACACTTGGTCAGCACCTCATCAGGAACATTCATGTCATGTTTGGTTTCATTCCATTCAGTGGTTCGCTAAAAGAAGTCAATTGTATGCATTTCCCATAGGGTCCTATGTAAAACTAAGACCCCCGCTGGCAGCCATCTTGGATGATGGATCGGCTACAAAGTAACAACACTTGGTGAGCACCTCATAAGGAACATTCATGCCATGTTTGGTTTCATTCCATTCAGTGGTTCCCTAAGAGAAGACATTTGTATGTATTTCCCATAGGTCCTTTGTTAAACTAAGTCCCCTGCTGTCGGCCATCTTGGATGATGGACCGACTGCAAAGTAACAACACTTGGTGAGCACCTCATAAGGAACATTCATGCCATGTTTGGTTTCATTCCATTCAGTGGTTCTCTAAAAGAAGACATTTGTATGTATTTCCCATAGGGTCCTATGTTAAACTAAGTCCCCTGCTGGCGGCCATCTTGGATGATGGATCGGCTACAAAGTAACAACACTTGGTCAGCACCTCATAAGGAACATTCATGCCATGTTTGGTTTCATTCCATTCAGTGGTTCTCTAAAAGAAGACATTTGTATGTATTTCCCATAGGGTCCTATGTTAAACTAAGTCCCCTGCTGGCGGCCATCTTGGATGATGGACCGACTGCAAAGTAACAACACTTGATCAGCATCTCATAAGGAACATTCATGTCATGTTTGGTTTCATTCCATTCAGTGGTTCTCTAAAAGAAGACATTTTTATGTATTTCCCATAGGGTCCTATGTTAAACTAAGTCCCCCCGCTGGCGGCCATCTTGGATGATGGATCGGCTACAAAGTAACAACACTTGGTCAGCACCTCATAAGGAACATTCATGTCATGTTTGGTTTCATTCCATTCAGTGGTTCTCTAAAAGAAGACATTTGTATGTATTTCCCATAGGGTCCTATGTTAAACTAAGTTCCCCGATGGCGGCCATCTTGGATGATGGATCGGCTACAAAGTAACAACACATGGTCAGCACCTCATAAGGAACATTCATGCCATGTTTGGTTTTATTCCATTCAGTGGTTCTCTAAAAGAAGTCATTTGTACGCATTTCCCATAGGGTCCTATGTTAAACTAAGTCCCCCGCTGGCGGCCATCTTGGATGATGGATCGGCTACAAAGTAACAACACTTGGTCAGCACCTCATAAGGAACATTCATGTCATGTTTGGTTTCATTCCATTAAGTGGTTCTCTAAAAGAAGTCAATTGTATGCATTTCCCATAGGGTCCTATGTTAAACTAAGTCCCCCGCTGGCGGCCATCTTGGATGATGGATCGGCTACAAAGTAACAACACTTGGTCAGCACCTCATAAGGAACATTCATGTCATGTTTGGTTTCATTCCATTAAGTGGTTCTCTAAAAGAAGTCAATTGTATGCATTTCCCATAGGGTCCTATGTTAAACTAAGTCCCCCGCTGGCAGCCATCTTGGATGATGGATCGGCTACAAAGTAACAACACTTGGTGAGCACCTCATAAGGAACATTCATGCCATGTTTGGTTTCATTCCATTCAGTGGTTCTCTAGAAAAAGTTCAAAATGTAAAAAGTTAACGCCGACGACGGACGACGGACGCCAAGTGATGAGAAAAGCTCACTTGGCCCTTCGGGCCAGGTGAGCTAAAAAATTGGATCAGGGCTTGCAGCCAAAGTAAATTTTACTTAACATGTAATGCTGTTATAAATTACGGAAATGTAACCAAAACTGACGTTACAACACCAATAATGCATGATTAAGGGTCATAACTTTGTAATTTAATTTGTGATTTGCCAAAGGAAGTTCTTTTGTAATTAATAGTAATATCACAACTTTTTCTTTTTTAAATTTAAAGTATTTTGGCACGATTTAAAATAAAACCGTGGGTCCCACAGCCCCAGCTTGTCTGGCAAAACAGCCGTTGGACGTCAGAGTAATCTCGGACTACTGTTAACATGGTTAAAGTATATACGATTTTCTAGAAAAACAAAATGAGTTCTTATGGGAAACTCACCTGATCAATCAGGCAGATTTTTGTACAGAATTTGTCCTTTTTCTTTGATAACAAGTGCCTTTTATTAAAATTTACAAATTGAGGCCCATTAAAATAGACAGTATTTTTTCCGTTTAAATCAAGTAAAATTATGAACCCTGTGACATCATGGACTATTCTACTATTGTGCTATTATAATTAGACGTGTATATTTACTTTACAATCATTTCTAACAAATTGTATTCCGTGTCCAGGATATACAGTGGAAGAACAGAAGTAACACTTTTCTAAACGCATGTTTACGTTTTAATTTCACCGGAAAGAGAAATTCTTGGAGTAGTACAGGGGCAAATTTAAGCTTTGTATTGATTGGAGGAAATTCAACTTCAATCTTCAACTAAAGCCCAAATCCAGATTTTAACAAAATACAACAATAATGTCCGATTTATACATTCGATACAAACAAAAGTATATTAATGATTATAAAGGGAAATTAGAAAGGATTATTTCTCTGCATGTCGAAATATTTGTTTTAAAAAGTTATCCATTCATATTTTCATATAATATTTAACTTTAAACATTAAACATATCTTTTTATTTAAATTTGTTGGCCCTTGTGGGGCACTGATAAAGATACATACATGTATAAAATGTGATGGAATGATTCAAATAAAGATAATATAAGATAAACTATGTTCTTACACATGACAGTATTTGAAAAATTATATATTAAGAAAAGTATTTTTTTATTCCATAGTTAGTTTGCATACAATTTGTTAGTATACATATAATGTTTTTGTCTTCATTAGCAGAGACATATATTTACATACGTCTCTGTCATTATAAGACCAAATATTTTGTTCCCCAATAGTTCAATAATATATATATAAAATTGTCTAATTTCATTTTTTGTCGTTCTTTTGCATAGAACGGATTAAAATGTGTTTTTTTTTTTTAGATATTCTTTAAAGAGCATTAGACCAAAATATTCCGCGCTTCTTACTAAAAATGTGCAAAGGATCAACGTTACGCTTTTACTACCCTATAAATTTATGAAAGAAACATTCAACTCTTAATGGTCGGGTTGTTGTCTCTTTGACACATTCCCCATTTCCATTCTCAATTTTAATTCTTATGATAAGGAGATAACTGTATTTTATTTTAAGCTTGGCCTTTATAAAACGTAGATTTTACTGTCGCAAATTGAGTTTACCTAGCGACGTGTAGCGGAGCAAGGTAAACGGATATTTTCGACACGAAAATAAAGTTTTACGAAGGCCAAGCTTAAGATTCAATACAGTTATCTCCATTGTAATGCCACATATTAAAATAAATTCCATTTTAGTAAATGTTTTGGCTTAAAAATGCCGTCTTTGGCATCTAAACAATGTGGCGTCATGTGTATAGTCCCGATATCAAATATAAACACTAGACGTATTTATACTTTTCGTACGCGGCTTCTGAATGGTTTAAATATTGACAAAAAGAAAATTTTTAGACACAAAATGTGAAATTTTTTTTTTGTTTATTTTTTGAGAAATAACATACCAAAAAATTTCGGAATTCAAAATGGTGGCTTTCTTTAGTTACGAGAACGTGGAATCTATCCCTTCAAAATATTTGTCAACGTCCAATGAAAATTGTCGTTCTAAGCGAATTGCATTAAAATTACGTTTTCGTATCACAAAAAGTCTGTTGCTGAACATGTTTTGTCAGGAAACGCAGAAAAAAAAAAGAAAAGTACGTTACCATTCCGCACCATAAAGAACAAATTTTCTAGAAAAAAGCTTAAATTAAGGTAGATTTACTGTATACCGCTATCTTGGATTGTACAACAGCAGTACATAACAGGTCTATAGTTCTTTGCCTAAATCTGCAAATTTTGAGACAGATTTGCAATTTATGTGTAAGACTTTTTAATTATGTAAAGAAAAAAAAGTGATTTATTGCATTATCCAAAATACTTAAACATATACCAAATATTTGTGTTTTTTAGAATCAATTTTTCAAACTTAGCCATTTCAGGGGAGATAACTCTTATAGCAAAAGTTTAATACTAGAATGATTGTGAAATTTTCATTTTTTTACTTGTAGCAAGAAAACAAGTTCGGTGACACCATTTATTCTTTTTATTTTCTTAAAGCATATTATAAAACCTATTTCCCCATAGTTTATTTCAAAATTCTATCTCATAGATTTCTTTTTATTCACAAAAATGTGTTTTTTCATGATCAATCTATGCAAATTTGTGCAATTTTGCACGACTTGTAGCTCGAAAAAATAGCATGGTGACCCATACTTTTTATTATATTTTTTAAAAAAGCGTATAGTAAAATCTTCATTTTGGCAAAGTATAAGAACATTCTATCTGAGGAAATATATATACCGATGATCCACCTTAAGTTTCTTTGCGTCTGACAACTTGGCGAAAACCTCAAAGTGATTGCTATTTTTAAAATTTATGTTTTGAAGTTGAAAGATCCGGCTATAATCTGCCCTTATCTTGACTTTGTTGTAAGCACGCAAGTAGTTTTCAATCTGTACAAAATGAGAAAATAAATCACAGTTCTAAGTAATACAGTTAATTCATAGACTTAAATATTGGCTTTTATGTTTGTGTCCCTTTTGGTCATATAGCTCGTCATGTGTTCAGGTCATATCCAACTAAGTAAGACATCACGTGACTTCGATGACGTAGCAATCCGCCATCTTTTAGTAAATTTGTCTCATATAATTGAATTGGCCTTTCAATAATCTTTTTTTTTTCGTTAATCCGACCCGTTTTCTAATTTTTGCAGCTCTTTCCTTTGTCATCGAACATAAATCTTTCTTAAAATATTGACCCTGACAGTTTAAATTTAGATGATATTACGTCCCTGGTCAATTGTAAATATATTGCTCTTTTTCTCCCCCTCTGCCCATTGACTGTATTGCAAAACTAACAAACCTTTGTCTTCTGATACATCAATTTCACAAAATTCTTTCAACAAATGTAGAACTTTGCTGCTATATTTTAACATCTGAAACATACGTCTAGCGCTGAATCCTATTTTAACAGTGTAATTTGTTGGCAAATTACGTCCCTAATCGATTTAAAACCATGAATTTTTCGACGATGTCGGGATTTTTCAAAATGGCGGCTGTGTCATTTGTCGTGTTCATAATTCAGATAAATTTGCCTTTCTCGTTATTTATTTTGGCATATTTTAGAAGGTTAAAAGTTTTGTCCATGATTATTTTAAAAGTAGTTTTTTTTTCGGGTACCGAAACGAAATAAAAACGGAACGGAACAAAACAAAACGAAACGCAATCGCGCAAAACGAAACGAAATACAGCAAAACGAAACGAAATGAAACGAAATAAATATTCTTTTTACAATTTCAACTAAAATGTCCCCGCTCAATGTCTTTATATGTACCAATAAGGGGAAAACGGTGTGAACTGATATATATGGGTCCGAAAAGTGGGATTATCGGAATATGATTGAGTGGTTAGAATGTTTTTCTGTCGACTGTTTTTGTGTGAGCAGGTTTACATTCGGCTTATATTTACATGTAAAGAACATAACACATCATAATGTTAGTTTATTTGTTGTCGTGAACATGAAATATTTGCTCTCGGGCTGAAGTTAAGCCGCGAGTCACACAAATCGATCGAAAGCTTTAATAATAGATCATTGTTTACGCTTTATTTCGCTGTCAGGTCTAGGTATGGATGTGTAAACCTAGGTTGGTTACGAGTGATGGCTGTCTTCTCGGGTGAACTGGGAGGGTCGGGGAATAACTATTGTTTGTTTATGTGAGGAAAATTCGGGGCATTTTTGTGAGTTTCAAGAAATTTCGGATTGGCATTGGTCTTTCGGGTCTGCAATGGTCTTTTTAAAGCAGATATCGTGTAGCCTTTTTGTCAGAATGTCAGATTTCGGGTACGTGTTTTGTAATTCTATGCAAATTCCCTTTTGTCACATGTTTTTCTAAGTAAAATCTTATTGGATGTATGTCAATTTAAATTCGGATAATTTAGGGTATGATCTGTTAATTTTCTTGATACTTAAGGGTCTCTTAGATTAAATATGCAAATGCTGGATAATTTCTGATCTTTTTAGTGAACTCAATCGGATTATTTCGGGTCGGGTTTTACAATTCCAATCGATAAAGGATTTGAGTACGCCATGGATGCTATCCTCAGTGAGATCAACTTCTCCGCTATGCACGCGATTATAAGCAGAAATTCCGAAAAATAAAGCCCATTGAAGTGGAATTTACCTTGGGTTTAAATCTCCTTTCCTCCGCCGAGTGTGCGTACACTTAGTAATCTTACTGTATATTATAGCTATAGTACAGTCTGCTGGTGAAGAAAAATACGGTTTAGGAACATTTGAGTAGCCATTTAACGGCATACTTTTCTTTGCTCTTAAAAATGGTTACATTTCAATGAAATTTCATGTTGCGTTTCTGTCATATATGATATACAGCATTTAGCAATGTGTCGACTACACTAATATACTTTTCAGGGATATTTTTGAATAAGGCAATAACGAGCAGGCCATCTATAATACATATTCCATAGTTGATACAACCTCGGAGTTAAGTAAGATAGTAACTTTATAAGTGGTTGTTTCTTCTTTTTTTTGGGGGGGGGGGGGGGGGGGGGTGGGGGGGCAAACGGCTAAATACGAATATAACTTTGTAGAGGAGATAGATGCACCAGATAAGTTTTATGAGCATTCTTCAGGTCTGAAAACAACATTGATGTAAACATACGTGATATGCACCTCTATAAATATACGTTTCGCGGATATATTTGTTATGCAATGCTTTTTGAACTGTTTTCGTATTTCCTGTCTATTTGTACAACGATTTCAACATTGGTAAGGATATTTCATTGTGTTCTAGCTGAATGTACAATTTGATATGCATGTCCTATACTGAAAAATCAAAGTTCATTGCTTCCTAGCAGTGGCAATTTACTATTATCCATGTCCGTATATTGAAAAAAATCCTAGAATTTAGACATGGATAGTAAATTGCACATTGCTAGGAAACAATGAACTAGTATTTTCCGTTTACGGACATGGATTCACCGTTTATCTTTTAAACAAACATCAAGTATAATTCGGAGGATGAAAATTACTGACCCATTGATATTTGACCTCAGTGAAATTCAGTGTATGCCATTAATATAATTTAATATAAAAAGGGGACCCATTCCAGCGGCACGTCTGTGTATGCCTTCATTTAGCCATAGAACCCCAAATCTAGATTGAGACCCATGCACGTGCGTGTTCTCAATATCCCAGTTCTGAAATACAGTCCTATTTACATTATTTATCTCAG